AAAATATACTTTTATCAATAAAGTACATATCTGCAAGAATAATTATTAAATTCAGGGTAAATAATGAGTGAAAGAAATAATTAAGTGAAGTGAATTAAAATGCACATAATTTAATCGTCCTAATAATGATAATCTGCATCAATTTATTTTCAAGGGCACCAAATCTCAATTAGTAAGGGTTTCTCACCTAAATTCCAAGACCAATGCAAGGTCGCATTGCGGTACATTGAATAAAATTACTATCAAAGTTCACTGGGCAAGTTTCCTGACTCCACACGCCTCTGTTTACCTAGCAGTAAGTAGGAACCTGGTTGTTAGTTGGTGGATCGCTTTTCTGAGAGTAATAATCCCTCCAAAAAAAAATTTGGTCACTCAATCCACAATGTTTGTGGGACACTGCTGTGCGCAATTGGCTGCTGGGTTTCACCCATGAAATATACAGTCACTAAACTTTAAAGTATACTCTGTGAAGTGCTTTGAGACGTCTCAAAGACATGATAGGGCACTATATCAAATGCAAGCATTAACATTAGGGGGTAATCAGAGGTTCCTAAAATTCCAGCCTTGTAGCTGACTACAAGGCGACATGTTATAACAAAGAATTCAGAATTCAGTCAATCTTCTTTGGTGGTCTCGGTTGTCTGGTTCCTGAGCAAGTTGGGTCTGCAGTATTCCAGGTACTGCTGATGACAGCCCAGCCAGCCTCATCAGCAGGACTTGGAAGGGCAGACCAGTTACTGGAAGCAGGGATTCTTCCCACTCAGCTCCTGCTAAGAACATCTGTCCTGCGGTTTTGACCTCCTCAACCTCCCCAGCCTATCACTCACTCACCGAATCTAGGCATCTGGTTCAACCCACAGCTGTCCTTCTTACCCCATATCTGGTCCCTGACTACTTTCTTCCACTTCCACCACATTTCCCGCCTCCGACCGTACCTTACCCCAGATGCAGTCAGACCCCCTCGTCCATGCGTTCATTAACTCCAACCTCCCCGGTCTCCCGAGCTCCACTAACCACAAATCCATCTAATCCAAAACTCCGCCAAACACATACTCAGCTGCACTAAACTACGAACCCCCATCACATCAATTCTAGCCAAGCTCCACTGGCTCATTGAATGGATCGATTTCAAGATTGTCACACTTGTTTCAACTCCCTTCATGTCCTGGCACTGCCCTACCTCTACAACCTGCTTACCTACAACCTCCGTAACATCGCCTGACTCCGCCACCACCTCACCCCTCAGGCCGCTGGAACTCTTGTTCATGCCTTCATCACCTCCAGGCTCGACTATGCAAACGCCCTGTTTGTTGGCCTTCCCAACTCCTCCCTCCACAGGCTGCAGATAATCCAGGACTCTGCAGCCCGTGTCCTCTCCCACACCAAACTCCGTGACCCTATCTCCTCCATTCTCGCCCGACTCCATTGGCTCCCTATCCTTCAGAGGATACAGTTCAAGATCCTGGTCCTCACCTACGAAGCCCCACGTGACCTCGCTCCACCCAACTTCTGAGACCTCCTAACCCCCTACCAACCCACCCACTCCCTCTGCTCAGCCGGCTCTGGCCTGCTCCACGTCCCCCGACCCACCCGCCCCACCATTGGTGGGAGAGCCTTCAGCCACTCTGCCCCCAACCTCTGGAATTCCATCCCCAATCACTCCGCCTCGCCCCCTCCTTAGCCTCCTTCAAGTCCCGCCTCAAGACCCTCCTCTTCAACCATGCCATTGGCCACCCCCCTTCCCCTCCCCTACCCCAGTTCGGGTCTGAAATGCTGGACACTGTTCAGCGCCTTGGGACGTCCTCCCGACGTGAAATGCGCTACACAAATGTAATCTTGTTGTTGTTACTCCCCAACCCACTGCCTCCACTCAACTTACTCCAGCCTCTTGCTTGTCCCTCGTGCTCTCTGTTCCATTGGTGGCTACGCTTTAAGCTACTATGCCCCAAAACTCTGGAACACGTTTCCTCTCTTCCTTCGCCTTGACCCCTCCTATCCCAACTTCAGATCGCGCCTGAAGACGTAACTCTTTGACTATGCCTACATTCAAATGCAAAGATTATTATTATTACTACATTCACCCTGCCCCCCAGCTCAGCTGCAAATGCTTACTGTCCTATGACTTGGGACATCACTCTAACTTGATAGGCACTATATAAATGCAATTTGTTGTTGTTGCTAACCCATTTAGAAATGAAATAAGGAAACATATTGTCACGCAGAGGGTGGAATTCAGTTCCCCAGAGCACAATGGAGCAGTCAATTGAAACATTTTAAAGGCAAATACTGCAGATAAATACTTGATCGACAGGGGTATCAAGGGCTATGGAGAGAGGGCAGGGAGATGAAATTGAGCTGCAGATCAGCCATGATCGTGGAAAATGGTGGGACAGGCTTGATGCGCTGAATGGCCTTCTCCTGTTTCTATGTTCCTAAAGAGTCCTCTCAATGGCAAACCACATGCCTTTGACTGGTTAAACTCCAGCAGTACCCCAATGTATACTATGGGGTTCTCAAGTCAACCTGCCAATCTCTCTTTTTGTGTTTACATTTTTATGCCTTATCTTTACACTTGTGTATTGTGTGTTTTGATTAAATGTTATAAAATGTTAATCTTCCACCCTCCATCTTCCCAAATTGTGCTCAATATCCTCTGGTATTAGATAAGCAGGGTACTTTCTTCCAAAGAGTCCACATACCATTTCAGACTCAGGGAAATTTCCAATGTGGAACCCCCAGACTGTTTTGGATAATCTTAAACATAATGATGTGGTTCAGCATGTCAGACACCTGGCTGACCAAAAAAGAACTGTTGGATACATCCTAAAATCATTGGCACATAACACAACACTGATATAATATTGCTAAACTTTATAAACATTATTCATAGAAAGCATCAGTTTTAAGAATTTTACTTAACACAAAAGCAGATACGAAAATACTTTCTATATTAAATGCAAGCTTATTTGAACCAAGTTCATATTTTATTGTAGTCCTGAAAGAAATTGTCTTTTGTATTTTTTTAAAATGATTTTTGCTCAACCATATTTCTCAGAAGTTAAATGGTTAATATTTTACAAGAGCAGTTTTAACTAGAGAGGAAAAATTGTGAACAGTTAGCAAACATTTTAGTAGTTGGTCCTAAGCTTGAAAAGGAAGATGATGGCAAGTTTCCTTTTTGATATTTGACACTGTTCACTAGATTAAGAGAACTTCTATCACTGATGGAAAATGTCACCTGGTCAGGTAGGTTCGACTGTAATTGCCAGTGATAAGTTTAATGCTACACTGAACTGATTGTCTCTGTCTCTCAGACTCAGTCAGTGTCTCAGTCAGTCCCACAGTTAGAACCACAGTTAGTCCCACAGTCAGTGTCTCAGACCCTCAGTCAGACTCTCAGCCAGTCCCTCAGTATTTCAGCCACTCTCTCAGACAATCCCTTTCAGTCTCTCAGTAAATCCATCAGACTCTCAGCCAGTCTATCAGCCAGTCTCTCAGACCCTCAGCCAGTATCTCAGGCAGACTCTCAGTCAGTCTCCCAGCATCTCAAACTCTCAACCAGTCTCCCAGTGTCTCAGATTGCCAGTGTCTCAGTCAGTGCCTCAGATTGTCGGTCAGTGTCTCAGTTAATGCCTCAGATTGTCAGTCAGTGCCTCAGATTGTCAGTCAGTGCCTCAGATTGTCGGTCAGTGCCTCAGATTGTCGGTCAGTGCCTCAGATTGTCGGTCAGTGCCTCAGATTGTCGGTCAGTGCCTCAGATTGTCGGACAGTGTCTCAGTCAGTGCCTCAGATTGCCAGTCAGTGTCTCAGTCAGTGTCTCAGATTGCCAGTCAGTGCCTCAGATTGTCGGTCAGTGCCTCAGATTGTCGGTCAGTGCCTCAGATTGTCAGTCAGTGTCTCAGTCAGTGTCTCAGATTGCCAGTCAGTGCCTCAGATTATCAGTCAGTGCCTCAGATTATCAGTCAGTGCCTCAGATTGTCAGTCAGTGTCTCAGTCAGTGCCTCAGATTGTCGGTCAGTGCCTCAGATTGTCGGTCAGTGCCTCAGATTGTCGGTCAGTGCCTCAGATTGTCGGTCAGTGCCTCAGATTGTCAGTCAGTGCCTCAGATTGTCAGTCAGTGTCTCAGATTGTCAGTCAGTGTCTCAGTCAGTGCCTCAGATTGTCGGTCAGTGCCTCAGATTGTCAGTCAGTGCCTCAGATTGTCAGTCAGTGTCTCAGATTGTCAGTCAGTGTCTCAGATTGTCAGTCAGTGTCTCAGTCAGTGCCTCAGATTGTCGGTCAGTGCCTCAGATTGTCTGTCAGTGCCTCAGATTGTTGGTCAGTATCTCAGATTGTCAGTCAGTATCTCAGGTTGTCAGTCAGTGTCTCAGTCAGTGCCTCAGATTGTCGGTCAGTGCCTCAGATTGTTGGTCAGCGCCTCAGATTGTCGGTCAGTGCCTCAGATTGTTGGTCAGCGCCTCAGATTGTCGGTCAGTGCCTCAGATTGTTGGTCAGTATCTCAGATTGTCAGTCAGTGTCTCAGTCAGTGCCTCAGATTGTCGGTCAGTGCCTCAGATTGTCGGTCAGTGCCTCAGATTGTCGGTCAGTGCCTCAGATTGTCGGTCAGCGCCTCAGATTGTCGGTCAGCGCCTCAGATTATCAGTCAGTGCCTCAGATTGTCAGTCAGTGTCTCAGTCAGTGCCTCAGATTGTCTGTCAGTGCCTCAGATTGTCAGTCAGTGCCTCAGATTGTCGGTCAGTGCCTCAGATTATCGGTCAGTGTCTCAGTCAGTGCCTCAGATTGTTGGTCAGCGCCTCAGATTATCAGTCAGTGCCTCAGGTTGTCAGTCAGTGTCTCAGTCAGTGCCTCAGATTATCAGTCAGTGCCTCAGGTTGTCAGTCAGTGTCTCAGTCAGTGCCTCAGATTGTCGGTCAGCGCCTCCCTCTCCTGCCTCTCAGTCCGCCTCCGGCTCTCTCAGTCACACCGCGGTCGGTGTGAGCGTCTCTCGGGGCCTCTCTTACCTTTAACAGATTAGACGTCGCCATGTTGAACTTTACTTGAGAGCCGGGCCTCTCGCGAGATGTGAGCGGGTGGGGGGGGGGGGGGGTAAACCCTTTAAACCCTTTAAACCCGGGTCAAGCCCAACCGAAATGTCACCTCCCGCAGTGAAAGGCCGGACTGGCGGTGTGGGTGCGGGGGCTACATGCCACCCGCCACCGCGGTGCTGCCGCCGGGCCCCGGGAATGTGTGAGGTCGGGGCTGTTGTTGTTGTTGTGGTGCCTGTCGGTGTGTGTGTGTGAGTGTGTGTACGGGTCCCCCCCCTACTCGCGGCCCCGGCTCTCGGGCTCCATGGCGCTCGGCTCTAAACTTAGCGCCGCCGCCGCCGCAGCCCCATATGAGGCTCCTTCACGTGATCCCGGGCAACGGCCAAAGACTCACGCGGCCCAGACTGCCGCCCCCTCCGCTCGCCCCGCCCCGCCCCTCCCCGCAGCTCTGCCGCCAGCGCCCCCTCCCGTGTGGAGGACTCATCGCCCCTCCCACCCCGGTGTGGAGGAACACGCCCCGAAGTGCTCTGGGACGCTATCCTGCGCGAGGGGCGCCATGTAAATGCAAGTTGTTGTTGGAGGACCCAGTGCTCCCCCCTCCCCCCCCCCCCCCCATTGTGGAGGACTCAGGGTCCCCTCTCCAGCAACCCACCCAGTTTAGAGGACCCCCCCCCACCCCCCCACCCCAAGTGTGCAGGACTCGAGGAGCATCCCACCCCATGTATTCAGGGTCCCCCCACCCCCCACCCCACAAGTGTGCAAGACTCAAGGTTCCTCTCCCCCCCCCCACCTCCCATGTAAAAGATTTGGGGTTACCCCTCTCTTTCCCCCCCCCACCCCCCTTTTTGGTGGCTCCCGCACAATGATCTAATGGTCATTTCCCCCACCCCTTCATCTCTGCCACTCGAGCTCTAATTTTCCCCGGGGGAGGATTCTATGGCTTCACCGCCCCACCGCTCTGGTCGTGCTGATCTCTCTTCAAGGACAATATGGTCCAAATGCAGGTCAAACTTGTGGCGCTTAAGGCATGTGTCCAAATGGTTATCCACCATGGCTTCGGGGTCCTGGACAAGCAGTTGGTGAAGTTTCCTTCGGCTCATTTGGGAAGTCTGGGACCTAACAGTGGGAACGTCTGCTGGGAACGTCTGCTCCAGCCCTCAAAGACTTGACACTCAGCAGCTTGAAGACAGAGTCAGCTTCACAGCGGACACATCTGGTTGCGGTAACCCCTCCAATGAAGCACTGGATTAACAACTGGTGTTGAGTCAACCTCAGACTCGGTTGACTTGACTCTGAACATCAGGGTGTTTGTTGACATGTCACAAAGTGTCTGAGTTTAGTCCTTCCGCCACACAGAAGGCACTATAAAGTTATATTGTTCAGTTTATCACATCTGTCCTATACTGCCATCTCGTGGCTAATCTTAAATCAACATTAAATCCAATAAAATTATTTGACATTTATTTGGATAAATATTCCTGCTGCAATAATCATTCACCAACAAAATACCCAGTCACTACTTAGTTGGGAGGGTGTCTCATAGCCTCTCTAAGGCTTTGCGACATCCTCCCGAAATAGAAGGTGCTTATTAAGTGCAAGGATTATTATTGTATTAATTCTTTTACAGCTATTCTTCAAATGTAAAAAAATATATTTTTTGGAAGTTTCAAGAAACCTTCAGTTTAGAAGTTCATTGAGTCAGTTACACATAATCATGTCAGATGGAGAGACACTGAGACGCACAGTTCCCTTGTCACAATTCATGACAGCCGCAAAACGCAGGATAATCATACCAAGAATACAGGTCACACATAAATTTACATAGATTGTACAGCATGGAAACAGGCCCTTCAGTCCAACTAGTCCATGCTGATATTTTACTCCATATAAGTCGTCACCCACTCCATTCTCCCTCGCACACCCATCTCTTTCTCCCTTGTGTGTACATCAAGCTACCACTGTTGCAAGCAATGTACTTGGCAGTGTATTACTGGAAATAATGTCAACTCCATTAGCAGGAACATAAGGAATTTTGATAATCTCAAAATATGCCTTTGCCATGTCTGGCATCCGTTGGCCACATATCACCATTATAAGTGAGTGCACATCAAAAGGCATATTGAGTCTTTGTTATAATAATCCCTGCATTTGATGTAGAACTTTATCACGTCAACCAAATCACTCAAAGTGTTTCACAGGATTTATTATGAAATGCAGTGACTGTATTTATAGGCAAACGTAGCAACTAATTTGTGCAAATTAATGTTTCACAGACAGCCATGAAATATTCTGTTTCTTTAGTATGTGGTTGTTTTACTAAAAGGCAGTATCTTCATCAAAAAGAGTTCACAACCCTTTTCTAAATTTGTTCACAAGCACACTCTGAGGCAGAAGCTTGTGCATCCAAGCCCCATAATGGGAATTTGACTTCACAGTCGAAGCTGACAATCCAATGTAATCTTAGGGCTGTGTATTTGTTGAAGTTGCTGTCTTTCATATGAGATATTAAACCGAGAAACCCATTCAGGTTCCATATGTTCGATTGGACATTGAAAATTCCTTGGCATTGATCGAACAAAGAAGGGAGTTTCTCACTTTCGCCCAAGTGTCTTGGCCAACAATTCGCCCAGGTAAAATGGGTTGTTCACTTCATGGCCATTTGCAGGACATTGCCTTCTACTAATTGGTTGCCACATTCATCTACAAAATATACAGTCACAACACTTTACAGCATATCCTGTGAAGGACTTTTGAGATGTTCTCCCGAAGTGAAAGGAGTTGTATCAAATTGTAAGCTTTATTATTTATTTTTGTGTAGGGTGTCAAAAAAAATCATCTTGGTACTTGGTTTCTTTTATTACAACCAAAACACACCCAACACCTCTTTTCTTTCATTCCACTCTCCAAACAAAGAAAGCTTGCTGAATACTTTTTCGTGAAGTCAATGCACCTTTGAAACACAATCACACTTGCTGTTCTGTTAACTGTGGCTGGACTGGTGTCAGTTTGGCTCAGTTATAAGCACATTTGTGTCTGAAGAAGAAATGTGGATCCAAGGCACACATAGGAACTTGAAGTCATAGTACAGGCTCACACTGCAGTGCAATTCTCCAACGCTGCATGCCTGGAGGTGTCTGTCCTTCGGCTGCAATATTAAAGTGGGGTTTAGTCGGGTTCCCCTACTGTTAGGTTGGCTGCCCCAGCCCATGGGATAATGTGTCCATCCACCTGACCGCTCGCTCCCGGTCCCCGCGTGCGCAATATGGCTGCCGCTATGACCCGAGCCCCCTCACCCACTCCCTCCCTCCTCCCTCCTCTCTCCCCCCAAACCCTCCCCCTTCTGCATCTCTCCCGCTCTCTCCTCCTCTCTCTCCGTCCCTCTCACCTTCTATCCCCACTTGACCCTCCCACAACCTCCCTCTGTTCCAGCCTGGGAATCCTCCATCGGGCTCACTGTGGCACTCGGCGTTGGCTGTCCAGCAGCAGCCACACCGACTGCCCCATTCCCCACCACACTCGCTAGCCACCCCGGACACAGACCCGGGGAGCCAACCTCTCCTCCCTTATCCCCATTTCCCCCACCCCTGCCTCACAACCGGGACCCCCTCCCTCCCCACACACCCTTCTGTCAACCGCTCCATCCACATCGGACTACAAAACGTCCGCTCCCTCTGTAACAAGGCCCTGGTCATCAACGATCTCATCCTTGATGAGAGCGTTGATATCATGGCCTTAACGGAAACCTGGCTCACCCCAGGCGACACCTTCCCCCTCACGGAGGCCACACCACCCGGCTACACCTCCCACCACATCCCTCGCCCCAACCGCCGTGGCGGTGGTGTTGCCCTTATCTCAAGGACACCACTTGCCCTATCCCCCTACTCCTCTGGCTCTTTCCCCTCTTTTGAGCACCTCACCCTCTCCCACCCCTCCTTCCTCTCACTTAAAATCCTCCTCCTCTACCGGCCCCCTAAAACCTCTCCCACCTTTATCTCTGATATCTCAACACTTCTCACATCTCTCTGCCTCTGCTCTGATCGCCTCATCATCCTGGGCGACTTTAACCTGCACTTCACCCCCTCCTGCTCAATCTCCTCAGATTTCTCTTCCCTGCTCTCCTCGCTCAACCTCTCCCTCCACATCAACTCCCCCACTCACAGTCACGGCCACCCACTCGACTTGGTGATCACCCGGGGCCTCAGTGTCTCGGATGTCACTATCACCGACAAGGCCGTCTCTGACCACCACTTCATCTCCTTCACCACCTCCACCCCCCTCCCCACCTCCACCAGACCCACCACCATCTTCTACCGCCCCTGGAAGAAGTTACCCCCTCAATCCCTAACCGCTGCCTTGGAGTCCTCTGAACTCCTCTCCCTCTGGCCTTCAACCCTCACCGACCCCTCTTCTGCTCTCACCCTCCTCCACAACACCCTCTCCTCCACACTTGACACTCTTGCCCCTATCACTTCCTGTACTGTCTCCTACTCTCGCTCCTCCCCCTGGTTCACCACCCACCTCCGCTCACTGAAGAGCCAGGTGCGGGCCGCGGAACGCACCTGGTCAAATCTGGCCTAACGGTCCACCGACAAATCTGGCTGGACCTCCTCAAAATCTACCGCTCCACTCTAGCCTCGGCCAAATCGTCCTTCTACTCCAGGATAATCCTGGAGGCGAAGGACAACCCCAGGCTACTGTTCTCTACCACATCCCAACTCCTCCGTCCCCCCCGCCACCCCGCGCAGGTCATCTCCTCCAACCTTCACTGCGAGGAGATGCTGGATTTCCTTGAATCCAAGATCAAGGGAATTCGCTCCGCGGTCACTTCCCCTCCAACATCCACCCACCACCCACCCCTTCCCTCCCACACTCCGACTCCTACCCATCCTCCCCTACACACCTTCGTACCCGTTTCCCCACCCTCTGTCACCAAACTCATCCTATCCCTGAAACCCACCACCTGCTCCCTTGACCCCATCCCCACTCCACTCCTTATCTCCCAGCTCCACCTCCTTGCCCCACATATCACAGACA